GATGGGAAGGGGTTTGCATTTTCTTCCTTTTTTTTTTTTATTTTAATCACAGAAAAAAAATTGTTTTGTGACAAAGCATTGCTACAGCTAACCCAGAGAGTAGGAAGGGATACTTTTTGCTAAGACTTTGAGGCACTTTCAGTAGGAGGCCTTGTTCACTCTCAGACAGTTGGTTATGTATGGGGAATTCCATTGTAGACTCTGGGTCATAGTCTCTATAGCCAAATCATGGTAAGGATATTTTTGTTTTTTAAGGATTTGGAAAGGCTTGAAGGCTGTTGCCTGGCAGGAGCCTTTGAAATGCCACAGAACACTTTGTGGTTTGAATCTGTAAAAGGGAGCTGTATCAGGTGATCCTTTCCTGAAAAACTTAGTTGTTGAGGTGCTTGGCATTTTTTCCTCAGCATCAGTCTACAGATGAATAATTTCTGAGACAAGTATTCTATTTGGTATTATAAGCATACCTTGTTTTCTCTTATGTAGCTAATAGCATAGTTGGTCCTTTCTCAGAGTGGAAGTAAAAGGAAACAAATATTACAGTAATATCTGCAAAATCATTGTGACTAGCAGCAAGATGAACTGTTAGCCTAATCTCAACTTTACACTGAAGTTATTTATTACTGACAGCCGTCTAAGGCGTTTTTGTCCTCGAGGCTAGATTTGGGCAAGCCTAGGCTAGGAAGCATTCCCACAATATGCAACTGTGGTTCTCAGCATTGTTTAAGGAAGATTGATGGTTTTACTGTGGCTGTGTATTCTGATTTGACTTGCATTTTTCCTAAGAGCTTTACTACTCTTCTACTTTAATTTGAAGATTTTCAGATTTAGTTCAGATATCACCATCTTTTCTTCATCTCCCAGTCAAATTCTCTCAAGCTTCTGAAATTTGAGTTTGCTCTGTTCTGGTTCTTCTGGCTTTCCTCTCCAACTTCTAGCATCTTATATGGGATCCCCTTCCCATCTTTTCCATATTTTCTTCTTCACTTTTTGTGTTATGAGCCTCCTTCCCCATTCCGATCTTGGGGACTGAGTTGTGACTGTCCATCCAAAGCTACTTTGCTTGCAGCTGCGTTAAAGTTTTGTGTGACTCACAGTGTGAGAACACAAGCTGGATGTTTGCTTTATGGGTCTCCAATTAGTACACAGACTGGAGATTCCTCCAGTCATTATTTCTTTCCCATAAAAAATGTGTCGGGTTTAATGGGAAAGCTTATAGAGAATAATCTAAAACATTCCCTTTTGAGAGCTTGGATGACGAGACCAGAGGAGAAGGTGGGGTTTGTGGGTTGTAGGTTTGAAAAATACCAGAAACAATGTTGTCTTGAACTTCAGTTTCTGTGAAAGCTTCAATGATTCCTTTGGAAGAATTCCATACATGGAATGTCATCACCTGTTTTTTTTTTTTTTGGCGGGGGGCGGAGCTGGAGGAGGAGGAGGAGAGGGCAGGGAGAGTGGTTTACAAAAAATGAATTATTTTCAAGAGTTCTTTTATCAGTCTCATTGACTGTCCTTTCTGTGTTTTTTAAATCACAGCTGCCTTTTTGATCTAATAGTTAACATGGTCTGTAAAGCATGTACAGAAAATAAATAGATATATTATCTAAACCCACTGAGTTTTAACAAGGAAGTACTTTCACACAGTGGGCTGTGCTTAGAGTAGAGCAAGTGCTTTTCACGTGTTTGTTAGTCTAAAAGTCTTTTAGCACATCTCCAACAAACATTGCATCATTGCCCTTTACCCTTCACAGTACCTTAACATGTGTAAACAACTTCCTTCTCAGCAGTTCTTATCGATTCCTAGCTAAACGTACAAGTAATCTCTCATTGCTAACCTGGAAATTGGATTGTAAATCTGCTTCTCAAGTATATATCTGTGGTGAGGTTTTGGGTTTTTTTCTACTTCTCTACTTCTCCCTCCATTTTTTTTCTTTCCCTCTTCCCAGGCTGCAGCATAGCTTCTTAGCTTTGAAATGATGATGGTAATGAGATTTCAGTACAAGGTCCGAGGAGCCAACGTAAAATTTGTCTTGTTCCCAGTTTTGGTGGCCTAAAATAATTTTTAAAAATGGTTCAGTGAAATTAATCTTGTTGTTTGTAAAAGTTCCATTGAAATGCTTGTTTGAAAATGCTGTCCTGAAAGATGTATGTAACACCAAAAGTATGGAAATTCGTAAAGCAGTTACAAGGTCTGGACATGGAAGGATGTGAAAGAACAGTAGAAGAAAATATTGAGGAATATTGATGGCAATTAAATTTGCAGGTTGTCAAAATGACAACAGATCTTTGTGCAGCTTCTCAGAGTACTCAGATAAGGAAAACAAACAGCAGCCTAAAATTGTATCTTGACAAAACTGAAGTTTCAAGTCATTGAAAAAAAATTGTGGGAGGATAAGGGGTAGGGTTAGTGCTTTGCAGCACAGTGGTTAAGAGGCAAAGAAAACCTGCGAACAAGTATTAATGAGTCACAGAGGCGGTAAAGGGTGAGGAAACAAAGCGCTTCTGAATCACTATTAGCTTCCAAACAGTACAAAAGGCACATCCAGAATCAACGTGTGGCTGACAACGAAGGGATTTCATGGAGAGTCTGAACTAGTGTCCCTTGGTCCTCCCATATTCCTGACCAGACCGCCTGGGTACGTGAGTGCTGGACAGTCCACTAGGACAAGCAGATCTTAGTGCTTGTGAGTATGTGTGTGTAAGAGAGTAATTGAAGTCTGTTCTGTTTTGAATTGAACTCACCTTTTCCTCCTGCCAGGTCTTTTACTAAGTTTGCTAGGTTGTTACAGTGTCACAGTGCTATTTGCTATTTGAAAGTACAGATAAGGACTGCTAATATGAAAGCAAATGCAGCCATGGATGGAAAAAAAATCGAACAAATGGCACTCCCCTGACCTTTTCTGCCTTTCTTCTTCTTTTTTTTTTTTTTTTTTTTTTTTAATCTATTTGCAGGTCAAACTGCAATTGCTGCAGTTAAGCCCATAACCTTTGTTCTGGTGATTTTTATGTGTGCAATGGAGTGTGCTGGGTTTGGCTATTCACTTATACCAAATGGTTCAGCAATGCATTTTAAAACATGCAATGCTTTTGCAGTGAGTTTGATGATACTGCCTTTCAGGGTGAAAGACATGCATGTCCTGCTGTACATGGCTTCTTTGGTGAAAGTTTCTAAAGTTGTCAACTTGCACAGATTTGTGTAGTATACACAACATTTTATAAAAATAAGGGAAGATTCCCAATTTATTGCAGATTGCTGCTGAGTGCTAACAGTTTTCTGGGTCAGGTCTGTTCTGTTTGGTGAATCTAAATAATGCAGAGCTTGCCCTGTTCTTCCTAGTGCTGGATTGTGTGCTTTTAAAGTTTTGTTTACTTTTTCAGGTCTCTGTTCCTTAATTAGTGCTGCTGCCTTGAGATGTTTATAGTTAGACATGCTAATATGAACTGGTCTCTTCATTCTTTTCACCCTTAATGTCTATGTGGTACTTTTTCACAAGAAAAAAAAAATAAAACAGAAGGCAGTGAAATCCTTGGACAAAGTTTTCTGCTGCACTATATGCCCTTTAGCAGTGCAGTGAGGCAAGATGCCAAAACCTGCCAGCATTTTTTAAGGTGCCTCTGGAATTTGCAGAGATCGGGGCAGGGAGACATAACAACATTAATCTTAATCCTTTGGTGCAGGTACTGGCAACATTAAAAATGTGTGACCACACACATGGATACAGATGTTATTTGAGAATATGCAGTCATTTGACTATGCAAATCTCATGACAATTTTCTTTCACAGCAATGGTATACATGTATACATATGGATCATTTACCTTGTTAAATGATGGTGGATTGAGCAGTGAGTTTTTACTCATCATTTTTTAATTAAGTATTTCTTTTGCCGTGGTAGAACTCCAAGTGTTTTAGGACCAGACTGGTGAGATACAATCTGAAGAATTCCTATTCTGGGAGGAAGTTTCAATCTCTAGACTGCAGTATTTTTTTGGATTCTAGGACTCTGCGTTTTGCCTATTTTATTTAGCATATTCTATTTAGCCTCTCAAACTTAATAGATAATGAGTTAGTTGTTAAAGCGATCTTAAATTTTAATGTCAGAAGGTTGATTCTTTTGGGGAGTGCCCTGCATGAGATTATTGAAAGCTTAAGCTTGTGCACAATAATTGGCCTTGAAGGCAGTGCTGCTTTTGCTGATAAAAGCAGTTTTTTTTTTCCTAAAAACGTGTGTGATTTATGCCTGTCCTCTCTCTCAGTCAGTCACAGAAGCTCATTGACTGCTCTTGTCAACAGAATACAGGAGTTTTCCACCTGCCCTTTTTTAAGTATAAACTTTGTTTTATTTTTGCTTGTTTACATGTTTGTTTAGAAGAATGAAAGTTCTAGGCTAAAACAAATGCAAGTCACATTTTAAGGAAAATGCTGGTGCTTTCATGGCTTCAAGTGTGGAGTTTGGCAACTGGAGATACTTTTTCTTTCAAAGCATGAGGAGTCACTGCAAAACTTAGAATTTAAGAAAGAGATTTTTCTTAGCTTTTTATTTCAGGCTTGCATTTGGGTTTAAGCTTTGAAAAATTTAGATTCATTGGTCATCTCATGTGGCCACAGCAAAACTGTGAGTTTAGTTGCCTTTTTTATTTTTTTTCTATTTTTTCCTCTTTCTCGCTCCTCTGATTGGTGTGCTTATACTAGCAGGAGATCTTCCCTCTTCAATTTCTTTGTAATTTAGCACTAGCTTCTGTTGGGGCTTTCTCGCTTACTATGCCAGGGATTATTGTGCAGCAGGCAGAGAAGTCTGGCATTTGCAAGAAGCCCTGGATTGCTTAGTAGTAATATTGCTTCAGACATTTGCTTGATCAGTGGATATTTCTATGACATTTCCAAGCAGAAACCTTCCTGTGTGACAAGAGGTAATCAGGATGCTTGAACTCTTTTTGTCCCTGAAGTCCAAACAAGTTCTTGTTAGCAGCTTAATGCCTTTTAACAACTCTTTGTCAGGTACCCTTTGAATAGGTTGTTTGTTGTGCAGGATGGCGACTGCCAAGGCTTGGGTTCTGAAGAAGCATTTTGAAGGTTTCCCCAAACCCAGCGACTTTGACCTGAAAAAGATAGAGCTGCCCAAACTAAAGGATGGAGGTAAGTAGAATTTATTTTTATATAAACATATATATATATATATATATATTCTGTAGGTAGTATGTTTCTTGAGCTTGAACTTTTGGAATTGATTTGACATATGTTATGGCAACCCCTGTGCCTTGGCAAAGCTGGACAGTTACTGAAGAACATGCATACAGATGGACTTGGTGGGTTTTGAGAAATGCTGCCTTCTGGTAGTCTCACTGAAACTGATGATGGAGCTTTTGCCAACTTCAGGAAGTGACAGTGGCATACCTTTCAAACACCCACCCTGCCTAACTGAATGTGGTGCATCCTGGCAAAGCTTTAGTTTATTGGAGAAAATTACTGAGGAGGTATACTCTGAAAACCAACCTCAATAAAGAGCCAGAATTTGTTTAGTTTAGAAAGAGAAATGAACTGTGGCACACAAAAATGAGTTGTAAAATTCATTAGGAAAACCCAAACATGCTTACGTGCTTTCTGTGTGAAAAGTTGTCATAGGCTCGTTTGTTTGTTTATTTTTTGTTTTCTTTTGTTTGCAAATATCCTGGGAGAAAGATGGATGGGAGTGCTTGGATTGTAAATGGAGATTTTTAGATTGATAAGGAAAGTACTGAGCATCCTCATAGTTTTGCAGAGTGGCTGGGATGGGAGCAGGAGGCAGAATTTTGTGCCTGCAGCTATTTAAGAACACAAAGCCATTCATTCCTTGCCATTTTAATCCTTGCAGCAAGAAGGGACAGAACTTCAGAAAAGAGTAAAGCATTTAAGGGAAATGATCTTCCTTATTATCTTATATGCCTTGATTTTTCGTAGAATCGTTATCGTTGGAACAGACCTTCAAGATCGAGTCCAACCATAACCCCATCCCCACCATGCCTGCTATACCATGCCCCAAAGTGCCTCATCTAAACGTTTCCCATCCTGCTCATTCTGGGCAATGGGAAAAGATTTATGTCTAAATATACTTCTAACTTTTATCAGCTAGACCACTGCAGCACAGACAATAAAAAATATTATTAGGCGTGGGACTGAATGTTAAAACTTCTGTGTGAATGGAACTTTAAATTAACATATGTTTAACAACATACTTCAGAAGTGGCATAGGAGACAACAAAGAGGATGAATCTAAGCTACCTAGAAAATGTGTGGGTTTTTTGTTTGTTTGTTTGTTTTTTGGGTTTTTTTTTTTTGTTGCTGTTCGTTTCTTCTCTAAGAGAGGAAAGTGATGTTTGTTAATCTGTCCCATAATAATTACTGTCTCTTAGCACTCTCTGGTGGTTGAATCCTGACAAGGCATTTTATATTTGGGTCACAAAAAAACTTAGTTTTTGCTTAGGGGTCTAACCTGCTGAGCATTCTACGTAGAGAAGAGGTAAGTAAAAAAAGTAGTCAAATGTAGAAAATAAGCTAGTCTTCTAAAAAGACACTTTTTATGCTCACAGATAGCACAGTGTTTATCCAAACAAAGCCAATGAATGTAGTAGATGTTTATAGTGGTTTATCCATGAAGGTTGGTGGAATATGGGACTTGTGAGCTACAAGAATTCCTGTAGCTGTTGTTAAGACCAATTTGTGAAACCTATGCTTTACAGTACTGTTGATACATATGAATTTGTTCTGTCTTTTGTTGCAGAGATCCTTCTGGAATCAGAGTTTCTCAGTGTTGATCCTTACATGAGGTATAACTTTTTCTTCTTTTGTTGTTAACTAGGTTAACTTTTTTGAGCTCCCAGTTAAACGGTAAAAAGTCATGCAGTGGAAGCATCCTCCACTGCTAGAATACTGGGTGCTTTTGTTGGCTTTGAGTGTTGTGTGTAAATTGTGATGCTCCCTGTATGGAGCCGTGCCAGCTTGCCTTCTGCTTTGTTTTGAGCATGACTGTTTATGTACTGTTTGTGGGTAAGCCAGTAGCTACTACTCTGCAGCATACCTGAAACATCATTGTAGTTGCTTACAGTAATCCCTCTCTCTACTGTGTTACAGACCTTACAGTAAAAGGGACATGAAGGAAGGAGACATAATGATAGGTACACAAGTTGCCAGGTAAGGTCTTCAGTAATTTTTGTCTCGCATTCTCACCTTGTTATCCACCATCCAGCAGACTCCAAATTATAAGGAAATGTACTGACCCCTGAGAGATTTGAAGTCTTGTATTACCTTTTCTTGACATAAATCTACATACTGTTGCAACTGTGTTCTTTGTCTATAATAGGTTGACCAGTGTTTATTCTTTGTGAATCTCTTTTCCCTTCTTGGAGAGCATTCATACCTCCTATACCACTCATATATTATTCATATAGATAATATGTTTAGAGGAGATTTTTACAAGAAGTGTGAAAGGCCAATAGTTATTTTACCTAACATGAGGTGTCAACTTCATATTTTCAAGTGAAGCACTCTCTTGCTCATATTTCTGCCCAAGAACATCTGTGGCCTTTGACTCCTGCGTTTTTTGGCAGAAAGGCTTGTTGAAGGGTGAGAGGCCGGGGAGACTAAATTAAAAGCCAGATCTGCTGAACAGAAGCCCAGCTGCTTTCAGTGTTTCAAGGCTGTTTGCCTACTCTTTTCTGAAGTGGTAAGGAAGTTGAATTTTCATTTTGTCATAGAGATAGTATGAAGTATGAACCTTTCTCCATTATTAGGTACTGTTTCCTAAGGTGTCTTAGGGAGAGATTTGTTGTCCCGGGATATCGTATCTTCAGGATATTCAACTTTTGAATGAGGTTCAGATTTGTTCAAAAGGGAACTGTTCATTCTAGCCTGTCTGTGGCTCAGCTTCTTGCTTTTCCACACTTTTAACCCAGCTTCCTCTTCCCCAGAAGCCTCATCTGAATTCATAAGAGATTGGTGCTAGTCAAAATTGTTGATATTTGCATAAGAACATAAAATATGATTTGCCAGGCTAGGACTTAATCTAGGCTAGTCTTGTCCAGGGATATTCTTCCAGGGATAAGAGACAGTAGTCATTTCAGAAAAGTCTCTGGAAGCCATCAGCATCATGAAATGCATGCCCTGGCATGAAGTATTCCTTTTGTCCTGCGTTACAGAGCATGAAGCAAGATCTGCTAGCATTTCTTTTCCAGAGCAGTAGGGATCTGTCTCAAACAAGTTTTCAAGTTTTTCTTTTTTTTTTTTCCTCCCCTCTTATTTTAAACAGGGTTATAGAAAGCAAGAATCCTGCATTTGTCATGGGATCCTTTGTGGTAGCTAATGCTGGTTGGAGAAATCATTTCATCTCCAGTGGGAAAGATCTTCGTGCTTTTCCTTCTGCCTGGCCTGAATCTCTCCCCAGATCTCTAGCTCTCGGGACAGCCGGCATGCCTGGGTGAGTACTGAGGTCCAAAGGAAGCTGTACTCTGAAATTTTCACTGTTCAGGTTGTTTCTGCATGTTTGTATGGCCTTTTCCCCTGTCCTCACAGTTTAGAGGAACTGAAGTTTGGCCCAATCTGTAGGTCAGAGGAAAGAATGATACTTTTTTTTCTTTTTTTTTTTTTTTGATGTCATGGTATCTCTCCTTGAGGAGGTGTTGTGGGGGTGGAGAAGGGCTCCAGCAGGAGCTGGAAAGAACCCAGTTCGATCTGAATTAACTTTTAACAGAAAAACTCGTATTTAACTGGCATTTGGACTAGGCTGCTTTTTCTTTTCAGCCTCTACTTTTATCACTGTATTTCTAAAGCTATTCAAAATTGGAAAGACATGACTGTTTCAGTTTGCAAGAAAAGAGCAATCTTTAAATTCTACTGTAGCAGTCAAACAGCTCCTTGGGAATCAATAAAAGCAAATTTTGTTCTCTTGGTCATCTTTCTGTACTCCTTCCCTATTTCTTTTCAAATTGTATGTGAAATACTGCTTCGTGAATCCTTTGACACAGAAGGCTTTCAAAATATTGTGTATTTTATGTGACACAGAACTTAACATTTCAGTCTGAAATGAGGCAAGACAGATCTTGCCATACAGCTTTTAAACAATTTCACCAGTTGGGAAGTTTTAAGCCTGAAATGAGAAGTCTTGGAAAATTTAAACCTGTTCACTTTTGGGATTCTCGGCTGACTGATCAGGCTGCTTCAGGAAGCCTATAGAGTCTTATGTCTTTTAATGTCAATATGATCAGCAGAGCGAAGCCACAGTGATTCCTTGAGACTACTGTTTACTGGTAGCCATACCTGTGCACGGTCCTCAGGAGCTGTAGCCCCATGTTCAGCAAGGGCTTGTGCCAGTTTTCTTCTTCTAGAAGCCTGGCTTTGTGATGACCATTTTGATCCCTCTGTTGATATGATAGGAACTAGCTGGCAACTGATACATGTCTAGTCTGGATTTGTTCTCTTCCAGCTTATAATTAGATTGTCAAATTATAAAGTGAATCTGTGTATACCTCATTTTGACTACTGAGCACAAAGAAACCTGTCTCCTACTAAAGTAGACTTCTCCCTCAGCACCCTGTTTCCCATTCTTACACACAAGTAGTGTATCTTGTTTTTCTGAACTTCCTGGAGACTTTAAGCATAACTGGATTTGCTCACAAGCTAATTTGAGATGCTGTTTGGTTGAATCATTGTTCAAATTAACTAGTTTTTCATAAAGAATGGGGAAAAATAAACTTTGTTCTGGTCGCAATGTTTGTTTAATGTGGCAAAGTTGCACCTTCGTGTCTAGTGTCCTTTATACCTCACAAAACATCCTTTCTTTTTCTCCCCAGACTTACTGCGTATTTTGGTCTGTTTGAAGTCTGCAAGATAAAGCCAGGAGACACAGTGCTGGTCAATGCTGCAGCTGGAGCTGTGGGCTCTGTGGTGGGACAACTTGCTAAAATTGGAGTGAGTGGCTTAAAAGTACTCATACTTAAGCCATAGAGGACTGATCTGGAAGAGGAATAAGGCCATGAATTATAAGGAGACTTATAAGGAGGGAGGGCAAAAACCTCTGAAGGTGTATCTGCAGCTGAGACAGGAAAAACTGCTGAAGATGTAGAAGAGCTAATTTTGAATTTCCTAGAGCTCAGGAACTGACATGTTCATGACAGCCTGAGTTTCAGGGTAAGCCCTGTGCTCCTTGTAGGTGTCAGCCTGTGTTGTCAGGGGATTTAGAAATATTTCTGTTTCTTTCCTTTCAGGGTTGCAAAGTGGTTGGCTGTGCTGGCTCAGATGAAAAGGTTGCTTATCTGAAAAAAATTGGCTTTGATGAAGCCTTCAATTACAAGACCATTACATCTTTGGAGGAAGCACTGCATAAAGCCTCTCCTGATGGCTACGACTGTTTCTTTGATAACGTGAGTTCAGAGGCAGGGATGGGCCAAGAACAGACCATTGTCCTTCCTCAGATTGTAGAAGAAACTCATTGAAATTTACAACCTTTATGAAACAATCTCCTCAAGAGCTTGTTGCTTCTCAGTTCCTTTCCAAAACTTAACTTGTGAACTAATAGAAAGGACAAACATTAAAAGAGAAGCCTGGATTGTTGCTGGTGGGTTGTTTTCTTTTGTTTGTTTGTTTTTGTTTGTTTGTTTGTTTTGGTAAATGGAGGAAAAATGCTCTAAAAAGTCTATGTGATTTTTGAGAGGGCAGGGAAGGAGAAGACATTTAACCAAGGCTTGGCAGAGGCCTGCAGTTCATTTTTGGACCCACCTTGGATCACAGACAATTCTCTGCTGTTTTTAGAAGTAGAGTGAGAGTGAGTGACCCAGCAGTGCAACTAGTTTGGGTACCCATATCTATGTAGTCACCTGGACTGTGCAAAACCAACTTGAAAAAATGCTAGACCTTTGTATTGGGTATTTCTGACCTCTCCCAGGCACAATTAGAGTTAAGAAGAGCTGTGGACTGTTCTTGATAATCTGTTTGAAAATGGCTACACTGTTTTAGACACTAAGAGACTTCGGTGTCAGGAGGGAGACAGACTGTGTTGGTGATGAAGCCAGAGAACAAGCACTGTTTTTCCTCTGCCTCTCCTCTGCCTCTCCTCTCCCCCTTTCTATTTTTTATTATATATATATAAAAAAAACTTCCTAGTACTGGTGTACCTGGTGTGTGTACAGGATACCTACATGGGGATATTAGCCAAGGCACTTGCACTGGCCTACATGTCAACAGGGCAAACGAATGAGAGTTAAAATGACAAGCAGCAGATATGTATCAGAACTCCCTGAGTTACTACACGATGTAAGGGGCAGCCATCGTTACTCCTTTGTCTTGTCTTTCTGCCAGCAGTTTGACCACTCACCAAAGAATGACAGTGCTGTGTTTTTGTGTGAAACAGCATGTATCCTAGGTTTTTCTGGGAATCCTTGTGAATGAATTATGTCAGGGCAAGCACTTGTCACTGTGGCCAGAGGTCTTGCTTGCTTTTTTGCTGTGTTCCAACCTTAATGTCATGTGCTATTAATGTTTTAAGCAGCTTTTAACACCCATTTTGTTCCCTCTCACTTGAAAATTTTGTGCAGAAGTGCCCCAGCAGTAATTTTTTTGACAACTTTTTCTCAGTTGAAAGCTGTACACTTCTGAGTACAGCACATCCTGTGAGCATCTTCTTCAGTGGGAACATTTGGAAGAAAAAAATATTAAGCAGAAGAAAATCAAAAGCTTGTCTCACAGTTGTGCAAATAAGCAGAAATGCAGGCTTGTGTCAGGACAAAGCAGAGGTGAGCTGGGATGCTCTTCTTAAAGAAAGGGATCTCTCTAAGGGTAAATCCTACCCAATATATCAAAAACAAGTATCATGGAAACAGATTGGAGTTAAAATTCATTCCCTGTTATTATAACACTTTCTTCAAAAGATACTGATGTAGAATTCTCATAGACTTTGAACCAGGGTAACGCAAAGACTTTGGAGTGGTGGAGGTTAGCATTTTTTTCCATTTTAACCTGTTCTCCTTGATGCAGCAACTTCAGGGTGACAAGCTATGATAGTGAATACCAAAAACTGAATTTTATCTAATACTGCATTTATTCTGATTTCTTGTAGGTGGGTGGAGAATTTGCCAGTGTAGCCATTCACCAGATGAAGAAGTATGGAAGGATTGCGGTCTGTGGAGCTATCTCTTTGTACAATGACTTAGTGCCTCAGACAGGTGTGGGGCTACTTTCGTGTACCTAAGCTTAGTTACTGTTCAGTGAGAGTAGAGGCATGATGGGAGACTCTTTTGAGTTTTTAAATGGTTGATTCAGTGTGCCATTTGAGTGTGTATGTATGTTTAGAGAGCTGAAGGTGATCCTGGAACAGCTGGTGTCCCTATGAATACATAGGTTCACCCTCCTTTGTACACACTCGTAACAGGTGGTGAGCATCAGCTGATAAGAAATGAAGGAAAAACTAAATTACTTCATGTAGGATTCCCCGGGGAACCAAGTAAGATACAGACGAATAAAAAAAGGCAGATGTGGTAGAGTGATGACATTTGCACAGTACCTGCTTTTAGATGAGAGAATGCAGTATCTGTCAGCTTTTTTTAAACAATGTGGCTTAGTTTTAGTTATCTGTTCCATTTCATGAGTGCCAAGAACTTGGCTACTGGTGAAATTGGTGGGAAATATGGCTGAGATGCATATTTGTTTTCAGTAGCATGCCATTTTCCGAATTTGTCTTCTGGAGAAAAAAAGATAAAGATCACTGTAAAAAACGGATGAGCTTTGACAGTGAGAAGACTATCACATGTTGGGAACTGCTTTTTTAGGTACCTAAGAGATATTTAAAATCCCTGTTTAGGATTTAGAAAAAATATGAGAATTTGGCAACTTTCAAAGACTAAGAACAGGCTGTCAAACAATCTGGCAAAACAATACTTTCAGGATGAAGCTGAAGTATTTCAGCCAAAATTGAGGCCACTTTACTCCTGACTTACCCTGTTTCACAAGTGTGGGGCCTTTAGGCTCAGCTTTAGGGATACAGTCTTTCTTTTCCTGGGTGACTGTCCAGGAATCCTCATTATTTAGTCCTAGATATTCTGTTTGGAAAGGACAGAAGTTGCTTCTAGCTGGAACAAAGTTATGAACTTTTCTATACTAGCTAGAAGCTTCTCATTATGCATAAAGTCCAGTTTTAAATAGAACTCTTTCTAAAGGTAGTTTGTTGGTTCGTTTTCCTTGCAGGACCTTATGTTCAGTATCCCATGATCTTCAAAGAGCTTCAAATGGAAGGGTTTCTTGTTTCCCGCTGGATTAACCGCTGGGGGGAAGGTCAGCAGGCACTCCTAAAATGGATCCTAGAGGTAAGAAAGAAAGTGGTGGTTTCCTGTAATACAGCAGGTGTACTCCCACCAGGGCTTCCTTTTTGTAAGGAGTTCCTTATCTTAACTGGTGAGGTGAGTTTACGGTGAGATCTTCTTTTTTCCACTTGTCCTTGAGCATTTTGAAGACACTCAAACCATACTGAACATGCTGTGTACATGATACTAGCCGTTGGTCATCACTTAGATATACCAGAGAATGTGTGCAGGCTTTTGAAAAAGGATCCTTCCAGTTTAATTCAAAACACTTTCCTAACAATTAGAGTAATTTCTCTTTGTCCTTCACCCTGCTTTCAATTGTAATATAAGCAAGTATTTCTATTATACTGTTGTGCTGGAATTACTGCGAATAATCAGTTCTTTGATGGAATTGGGAGCCAAGCTTTGTAGGGAGTTACAAGAGAATTTCTCTAATTTTATTTCTCTGAAGGCCAAGTTTAACATGTGGTCTGTAGCTGTGGGAAGCTTATGGGAGTGAACACTAAAGGCTAAAATATTCTAGGTTTTATAAATTGAGGTTTTGGGGACACTCAGCTTCTGATCACTTAGATTTTCAGTTCCATGCTTAATTATAGATAGAGGTGAGCCTGTCTTACCTTTTCATTTATTAGACTGAGTTGCACTAAATCGATCATGGTATGTTTCTGTGGCAATGACTTTTGCTCTGTTGTGACTCCAGTGGAGTATGTTGGTACAAAAGCAGATCCTGTCATGGAATAAGCCATATGCACATCTAGTTTTGCAAAGTTACTCTGGTGTGTACCAGTTAGCATTTGTTTCAGCCAGAACATACAAGCTGGAGAGAATCTGGTAGCGATTTGGTCTCAAAAAGACAGTAAAAGTAGACTGCTGATGAAAAGCTGATAAAATGAGTACTCAGCCATTTGTTCTCCTCCTTTGCACAGGGAAAAATTAAGTGCCATGAAAAAATCACTGATGGATTTGACAACATGCCAGCAGCTTTCATTGGAATGTTAAAAGGAGAAAATCTTGGAAAAGCCGTTGTAAAGGTCTGAAGGTCACACATAGCCAGTTCCTGAAATATTGCCACAGAAGGGTGCGATTCTACCTAAGTGCTTTTGCCTTATTATTCAAAAGGCACATTTCTGTCTCTTTGCTGGATGTTTGGTGATTATAATCTTTTAAAATATTTTTTCTAATAAGTAGGTGTATGCAAATGGTTTAGCTTTTGAAGAACTTGAGAATTGATCCCCAAACCTATATACAAAGTCTAGAAACTATTAAACTTCTTATTCTGGCTTAGAAAACCATAATTAAGTTTAAGTGAAATTTCACCAAAATTGATTTGAAACAAATTTAAGTTGACTTGTAGAAAGGAAATGACACTTTGCCTGTTAATGACACATTTGATTACTGATGTCTATTATTTTGTCTGGAACTTTGCAATAGAGGATTTCATTTTGTGATCACTAGCAGGGAGCAAAGAGCAACAACAGGCAGAGACTTCCATTTGCTGAGTTGAGATGATTTGATTTCATGAGGAAACAGATTTCTCAGCTAATAAGAGTTGAGATTATGGAAATGCTAAACAATAAGCAATAAATCTATTAACTCACACTTTGCTTGTGTTACAGTCTTCCTCTTATGACACTTCGCTATTTTGTTTTGTGGAGTTATTGTGTTTTTCTGTCACTTTTTTTCTTCCCAGTCCTAGCTGGATTAACATTCATAATGGATACAGTCTTGGAAAACAGGGAGATTACTTAGGAATTTTGTGTTTTGTGGAGGGAGGGAAGCATTGTTCTCCATCTTCCCCATAAGCTTCCTCTAAGGAAGCTCAACTGGTGCTACATGAGACTGATTTGACCCAAAGAGGAACTGAGCTGAGCTCAAAAACTGTGTAAATGCCCAAAAGGGAACAGAGATGGGCCCTGCCTAGCGTGTAAGGACTGACTGAGATAAAAAATGGCGAGGGCATATGAAGGACCCTTTGGTACAAAGATAATAGTTCACACATGTATCCCGTAGACATCAGGGGAGTTTCTTCTTCTCCAGACTCCTTACAATACCAGGGAGTGGTATTAAAACTAAACACTCTATCTATCTCATCAGCAGTGTGCATGCCATTGTGCATGCCATTGTGCATGCCTACTGCATCTTTTCTCAACGGGATATGGCAGAGCAGAAGAAAAGGTTACATAGAAAGGTTTATTGCTTCTCTGAAGCAATAATTAAGAAACTGAATAGCCTGACTCAGCTGGAGGGAGGGATGACCTTCAGGAACTCTTTGATCTCTGGAGTTCTACGGGTGCATCTGCTGCAATCATTCCCCATTATCCCAGATGTTCTGAATTCTAGAGGCCAGAGGCTGACATAGGGATGCCTAGAAGCTTGAACCTTCCTTTCAGGTTCGTGCAGTCAGTCACTGCCACCTTGTGGAGATTTGCATCTGTCACAGCTGTCTTTGCTAGCTGCAGGTGCAGATGGATCTTCTCACCTTGCACCAGCTACCCTGTGTTTTCGAGGTACCAACTCTGCTTTTCCTCTCCAGAGAAGGAAAAATGCATTGCAGATGTGTGTACATTTATATTTCCACAACAGTTAAGTTCCTCAGATGCTTCTAGTAAGGCTTTACCAAATCTGGAGGCCTTTGACCAGCTGTGCCTCTTAGCTCCAGGCTGTAAGAAACCTCTGCTGTAAATAATGGTAGTGAAATGCAGTTTACTCTGAGCTCAGCTTCCGACCACCTACCAAGGCTGTGCGACGACAGCCTAGCAGCTGCACCAAAAGTAGCTCCTGCTCAGACTTGTCCTGCATGCTGCCAAGGTTTCTGTAGTTGGTCTCCATCACAGGAACCCTGCATAACCCCAGGTTGTAGCAGCTGGGGTGGATTTAGTGTGCAGCTGCTCCAGAAGAAGAGCAGAGAGATTCCAGGCCCAGGCCAAGCCTGTCAGTTTCTTCATTCCCTCCTCCCTCTCTTCACTAGAAGAGACTTCCTGTACTAGGAGTTCATCAATACAGAGCCGTTTTCCAAGCAGGGCATGTTCAGCCTTGCACCACCTCAAGCCTGTCCAATGCACAGCGCTGGGGCAAACGCCACGTGTGTCCTGGAGCCCACGTCAGCAATAGCCCTGACGGGGCCTTGCAGAGGGGAGCACAGAGGCAGCCAGCTGCACGTGCCTCAGGACTGCTGCTCCTACACATGTGTGGAGGAACAAGCCAGACTTGGGAAGGTTTTCCAGGCGTAGGTGAAACGGGGTCTTTTCCCATGTTACACCTACCCTTCCTTTGGTCTCCAGATCTTTCCGTCACTGCTCCAGGGACTTAAATCATCAAACCTGTTTTATTCCGTTGTCTTACAGCAGTGATGCCACATGGGTGAGCCTGAGTATCTTGCAACACCAGGTCTTGCGCAGGTAATGACATCTTGGAAAAACCTCTGGAAGGCAGGCGAGTACACACCACCTCATTGCACACCAAGGCTTAACTGCACCACATCAGCCCTGACGGCTCCATTACCCTTCTTTGGGTTCCCCCAGGTCCCCAAACTGACCTGTGTCTCCTCCCATTTCCAACTGTTTGCAGCCACCGTGGTGCACTGTGAGGCACAGAGAACCCACCCAACTGGACACATCTCCCTCCTCCTCTTCTGCAGGACCTGAAACCCCACAAAATTCATCACCCCCTCTCCATCCCTCTGAGTATTAGGAGAGTTTCCCCTTCCCATCATGAAAGGGCCGTGCCCAGGGCACCCGGCACCTCTCACCACGTGGTCACCATTGGCTGTCACATGGAAAGGAAGGGCCATCTGAGACAAATTCACAGGTCGAGGGAACACAGCCCTCCATCCACCTCCCTGGGGGGATGAAAGTTGTCTGCAGTAGAACTTAGGGTAACAGAGACGTTGCTCTGGTTGCAACAAACATAGGGAGTCTCTGGGGAAATCAGGCTGATTCCTTGAGGTCTCATACTGCTTAGAGGCCTAGGCGAGTTGTTAGTGCTACACCTCAGGGGTTTTCTAAGTAGATGAAAAGGCTAAGGGACAAAAACACTGGCTGAGAATGTGTTGAGAAGGGCATTATGAGGTTGGATACCAGACAAAATTATGAACACCAAATATGGTGATTAGAATTCTATTAATTCTAATCCAGTCTTAAAATCATTACAAATATATATATATATATTTAGCAGAATCACAAGTGGGTGTGTGCAATAGCCAAGCCTAACCCTTCACATCAAAACTTTGCGAATACACTGAGTGCCACAAGAAAACGCTTGGAAGGGACATGTGGATGTCTAGGAGAATCCTCTCCCCGCTGTTGTGTTAGGGCACTTCCAGAACGTGCAGGGAGTGAGGCCAAGGAGTGTCACTATTTCACTTGCGTCTAATGTCGTACTCTCATCTTGACCCCTCACTGCAACTGCCCTGGCTAAGCCCTCCATTTTGCAAGAGTCCTCTCATTAAGCCTCAGTTACAACACACAGCTGGTATAATTCCTGTGCTCATAGAAGTGCTCCTCTATGCTTGCACCATTGGCAGTCCTCTGTCGTATAGACAGCTGTGTAGCAGGCCTGCAGAGGAGACACTTCTTGCTGTACCGGTTTGGCAGCAAGACAGACATCCCAGCCATTTCACATCCAGGAGAATTATCTGAGGGGAAGATAATTTCTTCATGAAAACTTTACTCCCAGAAAGAACACTTCAGCATGTTGTTTTTTTACACCACGTACACCAAGTTTCTTCCATTCAGGTCACTTGACCATCCTTCACTTCCCTTGTGAAGAGATCTTGCCAGATAACTGTCTCAGGGTAGATCAGTTCTTGTGAACAAGTCATATTTGGTTCTCACCAGAGATCAGAGTTCTGTGCAAGAGATAGCTTACCTACATTTTTTTTTTGTGGCATGATAATGCTGATCTCAATGTTCTGAGTGGAAAAAAAAAGACATTTAGCAAACAAAAATGCACCCCTGAGCAGTCCAGACTATCACCCATATGTCTGAGCAGACACCATCAGAATTTACAGTTACATTTAGTACAAAACACTTACTTATTCTTTAGATCTAGAAGGCCAGCCCGTGTCTTGGAATAGGTTACCTTCTCGGCAGGTAACAGCTGCTAAAGGGCTGAAAAAATCATTGTAATTGTGAAAGTTTGTTGCTCTTCAATGAACAGGAGACATTGCACAAATTCATGCAAACTGTGTCATAACTACATATTTTGAAGGGAATAAGCTTTTCAGTCTAGTCCCTTAAGAAAGTTCACTTGATACAGTTGGGTGGGTACGATGCCTCCAAGCTCTATGCTCCCCTCAAGGAGAAAATCTTAAACAGAACACCTGCTTTCACACAAAGCAAAGCATTTTGGGCAGAGTGTGCTCAAAGGTGGAGGATTCCTACATGGAAAACAAACAAACAAAAACAAACAAAAAACCAACCCTATAGACTTGCTGTGCTTCTCTTAAACACTTCTTCACGCTCCAGTTTCAACATAAATTACTATGACCTTTCCCCACCCTTTCCCATTTCTATTTCAGTTTGCAGTTGCTTGCCTGGTTCTTTCAGAGCTGTTGCAAAGTTGACCTCTTGAGAGAGTATTATGTGAAACTCTCAATATTACAAGCAATATTTCTATCCTTAATTTTGCTTCTCCTCCAGCTGTATTAAGCCAGATCAGAATCCTGCCTCAACAGACAGAAGTATTTAGGCTGCAATGACATGCATCTTAGTGGCCTCAAATACTAACCTAATGCACCATGATTTAAGTTTCTGCTTCTTACTGAAGCTATATTTTAGGAGGTTGTACTGAACTTAGTCCAAGTCTCTCCCAATCTCTTCTTCAGAACTTTAATCTGGCCTTCCCTGCTCCTAAGTAGAGGCAAAAAGGGAGATGATTTTGAGAGAGAACACTTGTTTTCAGATACTGCAATGAAAAGGGCATGTTCTTGCTCCAGCATTACTTCCTCCCCAGAAATTTTTCTAGAACTGCATTTGGTTTGGTGGCTGCCTGCTGACCTGTGTGAGCCACCTTTAATACAGAGTTGCACTTGGGGGTAGCCATATAGCCAGAGCTGAACAGGAAGTGTTTTGCATGTCCTTTTCACTGCAGAAGGAAAATCCCCCCATCTGAGGGGATGACAACTGTTGACAGCTGAGGGTGCAGCCAGCACTTCAGATTACTCAAACAAGATTTTTTTGAAGTCTCCTATTCAGGCAGAGAGCCGTTAAAGACTCCTGGCTCTCTTGTGGACCAGGAAACTCATGCATGTTTGTGCTGTGAGTAAGCCTGAGTCACACGCTGCTCCATACCACAAGGCACAGCAGCTCACCATGGCCCACAACATCTGCAGATACAGCAGGAAGTCTCCCTTCGTCTGTGCTGGCCTGAGGAGCACAGCTCACCCTTGGCTGGAGACAACACCCAAGAGAGCATTGGAAACTGAGGAAATAGTTGCTGAGCAGTATGCAGATGTAAGCAGGTCAGTGCTCATTTATACAGCTTGATGAAGGCATGGAGGACTAGAGAGCCCAGTTTAAAGTATCTAGTATAACCTAACAAAGCAGCATTGTTTAGTGTAATTTAAGAGGACAAAAGACAGCAGAAATCAGAATCATAGAATCATAGAATGGTTGAGGTTGGAAGGGACCTCTAGAGATCATCTAGTCCAACCGCCCTGCACACGCAGGGTCACCTAGAGCACATGGCACAGGACTGCGTCCAAGCGGGTTTTGAAGATCTCCAGAGAAGGAGACTCCACAACCTCTCTGGGCAGCCTGTTCCAGGGCTCTGTCACCCTCACTGT